TGAAAACAGCTACTAAACACACCAAAGTGAGAAGGCTTGCCCACCTGAGCCTTCACACTCCATCTACACTTTTAATATCCTTTTTATTTTCCCCTCTCTTCCTTCTCTTATTCTCTGAGTCTTGTTTCCAGTTAAACCAAGAACCTTTAAAAAAACTCTGTTTCTCTCTTTGAGAAAATTTAGCAGACAATATGCTTCTACACAAACTCGGAATGCTACAATTGCACAAATACCACAAATCAGTAAAATACACTTGAACTTTCCATGGATTTGGTTTTTTTCTTTTTTTACTGCTTAACTCTTATTACCATGCTCTACAACTGTTGAAGTGAATTCCACTTTCAAAGTAAGGCGAGAACATCCAGGACATATGTGAGTTTCACGAGAGGAATTCTCTAGTCTGGTACTGAAGTGTTTTTTGCCACAGAGTAAAATAACAACCAGAACAAACCAGATGTTTGCAAACTTCATGGTCACAGGAGAAAACGATTTCATTCCAAAAATTCCATATATTCAAATCACAATTTTCTTCTTTATAAACTAGTTCATTTTTGTTTCAGTAAATGTTGCTGTCACTGCACTGATCAACTGGTTATTTCTTAAAGCTGTGCCCAAAGTAAGTTGAGATTTCATGGTCTTCTGAGGTAAAGCCTAGTAAATAGGCTCATTTCTTTCTCCGCTTCTTCTCCATTTTGTATTAAAGGATTCGGTCACTCACGATGTGGTAGCTGAGTCCTGTACTCCATTTCTAATGGGAAAGTTAACTCCTCAGAAGAATTAGCAAAGCTGACTGAAAGCCAACCTGTAAGGCAGGACAATAAAGAAAATAATTATAGTTGCGTTTGTGCAACTGTAGAGCCTGAAAAACACAAAAGACACCTTTTGCAGTTACTATTAGAAATAATAAGGAAAAAGTTGTTCTTATGTTTCATTTAGTAATTTTTCATGAATAGCATGGTAGCTTTTTTGCCAATCAGAAATGGGGCAAACAGAAATTCTGCTACGGTACATCATTTTACACAATGAGAATCAGATTCAAACTCCAACTCAAAGCCTGGTAAGGAAAAGAGATACTGCAGAAAGCAAACATTCAGTTTCTGCACTTGAAAGAAATCTTTCAAATCTTCTTGAGGTGTTACTACAACATGAGCATCTCAGAAAATAAGGGCTGGGACTACAGATGTAGTAATGTGGAGTTAAAGGACAGTGTAGAAGGTGTTTCTCACATGGAGGGGAAGCCTCCATACTTCATATTCCAAGGCATGAGAAACATTGACGAAAAATTGTAACGCTAGCATTTTTAAAAATTCCAAACATTTAACCAGCAACTGGTATGTAAATGGCCATTAAGACACAAGCAATAAACAATATTCATCTGATCTGTCACAGCACTTGCAGAAGCAGAACTATACATTGCTACAGTGACCAGGACTGAAAAGTAAGAGCCTTATGAGGGGATTCACACTCCTTAGGAGAAGGACGGGCTGAACTCATACCACAGCAACAGAACAAATTGAGTCTGCATGTGACAGCTGTCCACCTTTATTTAACTTTATTTAGCATTTCCATGTATTCTTTGTAACAGGCACGGAATTCCCCTCTAGTTCTGACACCCTGGCATACTGTGAATTGCTTGTGATTAAAAAGTTTCCTCTTCATCCCTAAACTAGGCAGCTACAGTACTCTTGCTCTTGGCTGAGCTCTGCCTACCTTATCACTTCATTTGTTTATAACCCTTAAAGCAATGAAACATGCAACTACACAAACGAGCAAAATCCTTATAGCTGACTGTGCTAAGCATAATGACGAAATACAAAAACTAGAAACAAAGGGACAGCACGCTCGCTTGTTTATTCTGTGTAACAGCCTTACTATGTGGAGCTGGACAAGTACTGAGCTTTGCCCAGCCCCTGAGCAGCTCCACTCGGGAGTTACCTTGGCGGAGCAGCGGTCCCGCTCCGGGAGCCCTGCTCATGCCACAGACGGGACAGCCGCTCCCGACCACCGCGCAGCCACCGAACAAGAACCCTCACTTATGCCGTGCCCGTTTCCGCGAGTCGCCCGCGCCGCCCCGGAGGGCGCAGCCGCGCGTACAGCGCCGCCGCTCCCAACTCACCCCGCTCAAGGGAGCGGCTGAGGAGGAGCGGCAGCCGCCCGGAGCGCGGCGGCGCTCGAGGCAGCCCCAGGGCGAGAGGAAGCGAGCACCGGGAACGGCGGCCGAGTGCTGCAGGCCCCGCTCCGCGCCCCACACCACTTGGTGGCACCGCACTACCCGCGACCTCCGCAAGCAGCGGCAACAACGCCGCACCCCCTCTCTCACCGTGCTACCGCCGCCCAGCCCGTCGCCGCCATTTTGTGCACTGTTTATCACCGTGTTCTCGCGAGAGCCCCTCGCCGGCACTGAGCGGGCAGGCGTAAGCCGTCGCGCCGTGGAGGCGGTGTTCGGGTGGCTGGGAGGAAATCTGGTTACCCGGAGGTAGGTAAGCGGAGCCTAACTCCTCCTGCAGGAGAGGCTTGAGGTGCGGATGTGATCGGTCCGTGCCGACCGGCAGCGCCCGACGAGCGTGAGAGAGAGGTGGAAGTAGAAATGTGCGGCAGCCTTACGTTTCTCAAGTTTCATTTAAGCCCTTGCTAAAAATAGGTGTGTTTAAATCCCAATTGCAAACAGGCATAAGGAGTTATTCGCAACACTTCATACGTACTTTTATACTTCATAATTCAAGCAAATAGCTTCCAGGGCCAGCTGAGGCTGGGGTCAGCCGCAGCTGACATGAGTGGCAGACCAAACCTTTGAATGGATCCCTGCCCCAATACCTCTCTTTCCTTCACTCCCAAAAACCTGAGAATATGGTGCTGCAGTAACACAGCAGTATCAAAGTGTCAAAGGAGATAGCTCCTTCATCATAAAAATTATGGCCTGAATTGCCCTCTGGACGATAACTTTCAAGCATTTCAATTATACAAGTTAGAATTACTTATTTGCAAACAGATTTGTACCCAGTCTGACTATGAGGGTAACTGCTAAATCGTTCTTTACAAAACCTACTCATAAAAGCTTTATGGGCATTGTCCCTATTAGAACTTCAGGCTCTGACATCACTAATGCAGAGCTACTGTGGAGGAGCAACACCCACTTTATAATCACAATTGCACTACTCAGCAACACCATGCAACTGCTGTACATACAACCTTGTCGTGGTTTAAGTCCAGCCTGTAACTCAGAACCACACCACTGCTCGCTCACTCCCCCTTTTCTTCCTCCCGCTCTCCTGGAGGGATGGGGAGGAGAATTGAAAGAATAACTCCCATGGGTTGAGATAAAAGCAGTCCAGTAACTAAACTATAGTCCAGTAACTATAACACAAAACCACTACTGCTACCACCAATAATAACTGCTGATAAGAGAAATAACAAGGGAAGATAATATAACCGCTCACCACCCGCCAACCGATACCCAGCCCGACCCCAGCAGTGATCTAACCCTTCTGGGTCACTGCCCCCAGTTTATATAGTGGGCATGATGTGCTGTGGTATTGAATACCTCTTTGGTTAGTTTGGGTCAGGTGTCCTGTCTCTGCTTTGTCCCAGCTTCCCCTCCTCCCGGGCAGAGCATGAGACTCAGAAAGTCCTTGGTCAGAGTAAACATGACTCAGCAATAACTAAAAACATCGGTCTTATCAGCACTGTTCCCAGCCTGAAAGTCAAAAACACAGCACTGCACCAGCTACTAAGACAGAGAAAAATGACTGCTACTGCTGAACTCAGGACACCAACACAGTGACACCAACCCCAGTGACAAGTACAGCAGCTACTCAAACTCTGACTACAACAGACAACGCAGCTACTCCAAGCATAGCAACTATCAGAGTTGCTATCCCTAGTAGGGATTCTGGGGAGCAAGCTGGTATAGTGTACTCACCTCCCACTGTCACCATCAGGGAATAAGCACCAAAACATTCAAGCCACAAATGCTAGCTCAATCAAGGAAAATATGCTCCTCAAGTCATCCTGCTGTGTGTAAGATTTCACTATAACATCACAGAAGCCATACTAAGGAGTCCATGGCAGTATAAAATACAAAAGATTGAGAACATCCTTAACACAAGTCATGTCTCTCTTTTAGGTAGCAATTACACGCACACAGAAAGGGCAGCTTTCCTGACTCCCACATGTACAGCCTGCAACACATATGAGCAGTGTGTGACTTCTAGTAAGTACATATGCATACACATATATATAAACAAAAGCGTACAAACCATACAGCATCAAAAGTTCAGTAAAGTTTTTTATTATCATTATCATTATTATCATCTTAGGAAACTGATCAGTATTTTTAAACCAAAATGTTACTTCATTTTCTTTACTGATTATGTTTTTATATTTTTATGCTCTTCATTCAATTCTTCAGCTGTATTTCAGATTGCTGAAGCAGTATTTTAAAGTATTATCAAGATCATTGACACTTTGAATAAGAAAGCATACAAGCTTATCTCCAAATTCCTTTACAGCTCTATAAAACCTCTTCAGTCACTTAAACTATCCCCAGGGCAACAGTCCTTTGCCATCCACCTTGAAAAGCTCCTTAAATAACATAATTCAAAGGCAACAATATTTACACTTAAAACACACAAACATCTGCCATTAGAAGACAGAAAAGTCTGCAAAACTACATGTTAAAGAAACAATACAGTTGACAGGGTTTGTCTTTTTGAACAGTGTCATGTTTGGGGGGGGGGCATTTCTAAAAAATTTGGGGAATTCTCAAATTCAGTCAACTTTGCAAGCTGAAATTATGTAGCACTATACAAAAGACAACTGCTCTCCTGCCTTGAAGAGAAAGTGAACATACGTTGACCTCAACAAAATTAGCTCTCTGTCACACAAGAAAGCAGCAGAAGAGCAGTTTCATGCAACATGCAGAGAGGATCCAGACTTCTGATGTCTACGTTACATGTAGCAAGGTACAGGTAAGTTACAGTAAGCCCACCAGCATTCACTACACATTTTGGCAGCACTCGTTCCAAAGGACATCTGAATACTCCTATTTCACTTTGCATGTTAAAGCTTCCTTGCGTGTAATTCTGAAAATATACAGTGCAAGCCATGCCCAGATCCATTCGGGCAGGCGCTCACCCAACGTGAACTGTGGAGAGACACAAGGAGACAAGAGAAGATAAAAAAAACAAAGGGACAGATTAAGATATATTTCATTAAACAAATTTCTCAAATTACAACTAAAGAATACCTTTAGCCATTTTGGAAGTAGTGCCCACAGCTAGGTTCTGCAAATAAATCCTGAAATGCTTTGTTCAAGTTTGCGACAGCAATACTGTCTACTTTCTTTAGCTGTCAAGTTGTTCCTGTCTGTTTTATTCTTTTTGGACTAATCCTCACTTCTTTTAACTCCTTCTGCTTGCCTTAATGCTATAGGAGGCCACTAGCAGGACACATGAGATGTGACCAATGTTTAAAATTACTTTGCAGCCCAGAGTCTGCCCTCCAAAATGAAAAGCTAACAAATGGAGGATCTGCTTTTAGATAGCTTAGAATAAAAATGTGGGCTTTTCTTTCTGCTATTATTCCATCCTCTCTACCCACTCTCCCTTAAAGTAGAAATATACTCAATAAAGTAGGATTGAAAAAAAATACTTCTGTTAGCAGAGACGACAGTGAAATTCTTACCCAGTCAGCAATACCCCAAGTCAAATGAGATACTCTCTACTACTGAATAAAAAAATCTCCCATTTTTTGCTGCACATTAAGTGGGAACTGGATTCACTCATCCTAAAAAAAAGCATGCCCAAGCATAACTTTCTAAAGTAGAATTAGTGAGAAAATACAGCTCAATGCCTTCCAGTCCAGCAATAAATACTGCACTTTTTTCAGAATATGAGCATAGTTTTCATTCATTCTCCTAAGAAAGTAAACAGTAGAAGCTTATTTAATTTCTACTGATAAACATTAAATATTTTAATAGATTACCTTTATTGCATGCTTCCAGTAACCAGTAGTCCTTGTAGATAACCCAAGAGTAGAAACAGCATGACTTGCATACTCTTCAGCAGAAGGAAAAAAGAAAGATCTCTTTGATGCCATGCCACTGCATGATGTCATTTTAGAAATGACAAATGGAGTTAAACTCTGAACAAAAATTCCTTTTGAGGCACACTCATAATGTAGTGCTCTACTGAAATAGTCCAGGTAGGTCTAGAAAGACAAAAGCAGGAAGAGACACTGCAATAACCAGTATAAAAATACACATTTCTGAAGTATTATCAACATTTCTATTTGTTGTTATTTGTTTGCTAAAAACCTGCAACTGCAACGGTACAGTAACTTGCAGGACAAAATGACCACTTAACTCTGATGTGAATTTGGCAAAGAATCTGACAATTCTGCTTAAACACAAACACAGAAACATTTATTTCATCTAAAACACCTTGTTTAGTCTGGGGGCATTGCAAAGACACTCCAAAGCTGACTATACATTCTACTGTCAAAAGGACAAAATGAAGTCCCATTCTTCAACACATTTACAAGTGCATTTTGTATTCAGCTTCCCCAGAAGCTAGGTTAAGTACTTCTTGGGACTCCTTCGATGCAAAATTAAACATCAATTTAGTTATGTGCGTCTGTATTACCTCATTTAGCTCATTTTACTTTTACAATTAAAAAAAAAAAAAACACCAAAAACCCCGCACAAGTCGGTAACTGGGATTGCTGGAATCGGACAGAAAACCAAGCATAGCTCAGTCTTACCAAGGCAGCAACACTGATGTTGTGCTGAAGCTACTGCTGTGCTGCAAAGCCAGTTACCGTTGAGAAAGAGCACCTCTTACACCTGCTTTAGGAAAACAAAACAATCCAACCACTTCCAATACCATACGCTGTTAACTGCACAGAGGCTTAGCATGCTAGAACAGCTTGTTCATACTGCCATGACCATGTAATAATATTCAGGGGCCAGACTTTAAACTGTATTGCTGATACAGGATTTGGATTAATAATGCCAGCTAAAGGAAGAAATTTGTATACATTTGGTTTTGTTCTGTTCTTTTTCATCCAGGCCTTTTAATTGTTTTAGCTCAGAGTGCAGTTCTACATACACTTAGCATAACAAAGGAGGGAGATACTTTGCAACAGAAATAGGAGTTTTAAAACAGTTTCCTCACTGAAGAAAATCTGCAAGTTTTATACACTGGGGTATTAAAGAGCTGGTTTTGCTCCACGCAAAGGGAAGTACTTACAAGAACTACCTCAGAAGCAAGGCTGCACACGGGTTAGGCTGCAGGAGAGGGCAGCCACAGATAGCTGGGAGCAATAACCACTTGTCTTTAGACACTGCTTCTAGGCAAAATCCCATCTACAATCTCAGCTGCTTTTGTGGATACAGCAGACCATCCCATGTAAATCTGCATCCCCACAAGCATTCATACTTCCAGCGTCACACATCTGCCCCATCCTATGCATGAGTGACTGGATCTCCTCAGGAATAATAATTATAGTGAGGGAAGTTCCTTTCACTTTTCCCCAAATACAGTACAGACAACGGTATAAGACGCCTTCTGCCCCTTGGTGTTAGGTGAAGCAGTGGCTTCGTTTGGCCACAGCCCTTGTCACAGTGGCGGCTTGAGCATGAGTATAGCTCCTCTTACTACCAAATACTAGTGCGTATTGTGGTTCAGAGCACCAGTGAGGTTAGAAAGTTTACTGAATCATACATGTAACATTCACCTCTGGTATTTGAAAAAATCTCTAGAAAACCTGACTGTGAAATCAAATGAAAGTGTTGCTGAATGTGAAAAACACCAAACAAATGCAAACAAGCTATAATCTACTTTTTCAGTGCATACCATTAAACGTTACACCCCAGCTTACTTTAGAAGCTCCATAGATCGTCAACATTGGTGTTGGCTGACAACATGATGCAGAAGAAACGTTCACAATTGCACCTTTCTTCTTCTCTACCATGCCTGGCAGCACAATATGTGTCATCATGTTAGCAGAAGCAATATTTACATTGATCATATCCCACAGCATATCCTCAGACAGACTGGTAAAATAGTCTGGGTAGGAATAAAACATTCCTGTATTATTCACCAAAATCCCAATTTCTCTGTCTTTCAGAGCCTCCTTAATGGCTGGGTAAGGCTCACGACCCTTGCTGAAGTCAGCTACTATGAAATCTGTTTCCACTTTATAGGTTTCAGATATGCTTTTAGATACAGCCTCCAGCTTCTCTTTGTTTCGGCTGATTAAGATAATGTTGACACCACGCTTCGCCAGCTCTTCAGCATATGCCTTCCCAATACCATCTGTGCTACCTGTAAGAGAAAATAAAATCCCAAAGTGAAAATCAGAGCAGCCCCAGCCTCCTATTTTGACAGTTCCTTCAATTACAGAAGAACCTGAGCATGTAAAACCCCGTAACAAAAAGAGGATCTTGTCTGCATCTCTGTCTACACATGTAGATATTCAGGGTGTACCTTCAAGTTTTGGGACAAACTGCTCTGTGATTCTTTCCCAGCAGTCAGTCAACACACTGAGCTTGCCCATCTCCTGAGGAATTTAATTTAGTAAGATGCTGTACAACTGTCACTGCTCATGCAGAGTAACTCACAACATGAGGTAATACGCACCCAGCTTGTGAGAGAATGTTCACCCAGCAGTATATGCTACCAAGTTTTACAGTATGACACAGTATGCTATACACATAAGCAAATATTCTGCTTCAGTCTCTTACCAGTGACCACGGCCCATTTTCCATAGCGCTTGACAAGGTCAATCTCACCGCCCAGCTTTGGAATTAAATGCAACCTAAGCATGCTGTAAGTGTCAATCGCAAGGGACATACACTTCCTGATTGTATACCAGGCTCCAACTATAGCCAGGGCCTCTACGTAAAAACTGCAGGAACGACTGATCTCTCTGTACAAGAGGTGGAAACGATCCACTGCCGCCATGGTGACCATAAGCCTGGAAAAAAAAATAGACACAGAAAGTTACAACTGCTTCTTGGGACACAAAAACTTTTCAGACTGCACAGATAACCTTTGAGATTCAGCATGTTGTAGCCTGAGGTCTGAGCACCATTTTGATGCAGAAAAGCCACAAGTCAGCCTGCTAAAATGTGGATATCACCTACCATCATCCTCAGTGGTTTACCTGCTCCTTAGCCTTTGTTCAAGCATTCAGGTGTTAACCAGTTATACTGCAATGGCTCTGACCAATCATACTGTAAATAAAGCACAGATCACAGGTTGGAAAAGACCTTTAAGATCATCAAGTCTAACCATTACCCAGCACTGCCAAGGCCACCACTAAACCATGTCACTAAGAGCCTCGTCTACACAGTTTTTTAACACTTTCAGGGACAGTGATTCCACTAGTTTCCTGGGAAGCCTGTTCCAATACCTGATCACTCTGACAGTGAAGAAATTTTCAGATAGGGGCAGATCAACATATAAAGCTAATTTTGGAAGATTAAGTACAACCTACAAAAGAGGCAGGGATAAACCAGGAGGAGAGCTGAGCACAGGAGAAACAACAGGCTCTTTCAAGCACAGAAAACTACAGGAAAAACAAAGCAAGCCCAGAGACAGAAGCACCATCCGCGGCACTCGGGACTGAAAATCCCTGAACTACGGCACACTGCCGTGCGTTAATATCACACCGCATACCGGCTTTCAGCAGAAAAAGCCTCACATAGGTTTTACTGGTCAGTATTTCCTAAAACAAGCACAGAACCCCAACACTGCCTCCTCGGTAGCACCCGATTTACAGCCGCAGCCGGCAGCCTACCGCCAACTGGCGTCAGGGCCGTGACCAAGTGCACGCCGGGACGCAGGCCTCATCCCTCCGGCAGGGCAGCAAGCTCAGGGCGTGTTCACTCCCACCAGCCCCAGCGTCAAAGGGGCCTGACCCGGCGCCTCAGCATCCCCCTCAGCCCCTGCCTAGGCCCGGCTGTCACGGAGGCAAACCACCCCCCAGCCACGGCCCATGGGGAGGAACCCGCCGCCCTCCCGGGGCTGTTACCGGCCCAAGCAGACTCACCCGCGGGGCCGTGGCCGGCCCTTCCGCGGTGCCGTACTCCCGCCGCCACCGGCACCGCTGCGCGGGGCAGCTGGGAGCGGCCGAGTGGCCTTGTGGGTCTGCGCGCTGAGTCGCCATGGCGACAGCGGCTGTTAGTGCGGCTGAGGTGGGGATCTGGCTGCATGCGCCTCAGGAGCTGTGTCTGGGGCTGCGGTGAACCGTCACCTCCGTCGCTGTTTACATCTCCTATTGTCTGGGAGATACGGCGGGGAGTGCTGCTCCGGGTCCGGGTCCGGGTCCGGGTCCGGGTCCGAACGCTCGGCCCAGCCTTGCCCGGGTCTGCCGGGTCTGGGGTCAGGTAAAGGGAGCTGGAGGTTTAATGGGCAGTATAGCATTGCGCTTTAGGGCAGAACTCTTGTCTAGAGAGCTCTAGAGGGGTATAGCAGCAAAAAGTGCTGAGGGGAAATGTTGCTGCATCTGCCGTCCTTGTGAGGAAATGAAAATGCCGCAGGAGCCTACCCGGGTTGTGGTAGGGCGGGAAGCAGCCATATCGCAAGAGCAGGCTGAGCACCATCACTGCATCCTCAGCTCTACGGCTTTGAAAGGGAAGAGTTGACTTACTCTACTTTGGAAGGCTTCTCAGCCGTCTTCCTCCCTGCTCTGAGCATAAACTCTCCCTGCATTTTGGTATCTTCACAATGACTAGACCTAGGTTATCCATTCCATGCAGGCTTCATAATTTACTCATAATGGTCTTATCTGTAACAGGTTCTCCTTCTAAAACCTTTAGACGTTTTGTCTGGGAAAGTTGGATAGTAAATCAAATAGTGACTTGGCTGATCTAAATCACATATCTTAAAATGCAATCACAATTTGGAGACTCAGACAAAGGCCATGGATGGGAGGTGACTGCACAAGAGTTGTCAGGGGAATCTCTGAATGACACCAACAATGAAGCTACCCACACAGAAAATGAAGGCAATTCTGTCCATACAGGTGAGCCTGTTCAGCTGGCTTGCTAGGACTAATTTAGGGAACATTAGTGAACATAAAGCCTAGACATCAAGTTTGTCATTACTCACCCGGATGCAATATGAGTTTATTCTTTCCCTCAGTAAAGCCACTGAAAATCTTGCCATAACTGAGGCTTATTCAATTGTTATCTTCTTGTGCCTTTTTTTTTTCTTTGGTTTTTTTTTTTTCATGTTCTGTTGCTTTACTTTTCTCTTGCTGGAGGGATACCTTTCCCTGTGTTGCAATTATACAATCAGTCTGACCTCTAAATGTTTTAATTACAATCATATTTAAGTGAGCTGGCACAATTGTCTTGTTTGCACTGTCTCTTTTTAAGTGTATGGGCTACAAGTGCAACTAGAAGGTGAAGAGCAAGATTCTGAAGAGTATTGAAAATGCAATTAATCAATGTCAATCTAAAGACAGCTCGAATGAGTTGTCTCCAGTAGCACTGGAGACAACCTCCACAGAGTACAAAAGGGTGAATTTGTGGAAGAGCTAGACTAACAGTGCTTGTGATGACTCAGATACACCACTACTGTGGTCTCTTTACATGCAAAGTTAGCAGTCTCATTAAACTCAAATTATTGGTAATTAAATGTAGCATATAGTAGATGTCTAAAACCATAAGAACACAGGTGCCAGTACTTTACTTCACTGTGCGTTATAATAATCATATGACTAGTGACTTCCAGATCTAATAAAATATAAAATGGAGATTTCAACAGTTTATTTTGGCACTACTTATTTTACTTTGCCATCTAAAAAGTTAAGCTTCTGTTCATTAAACCTGTCAGCAAAAATCTTGGTTATAACACCTCTTTTCTTGAAGTTCATATTAAATTACTCTTCAATATTTCTTTAAAGTAATTAGCAACATGACATTTTTTCCCCACTCACGCTATTAAACTGCAACTCATTTTCTTGCTCACAAAGATGTTAAAACTCAAGAGAAAGCCATAAACTGGATGTCCAGAGCAGATCAACAGAATGAGCAAAAATCAGATGGTGATCACAAAGCTGTCACCAGCTTATTCCATCAAAGGACAGAAGAAAAGGGGGGCTGTCTAAGGTAATACATTTGTTGCGGAAGTTTTTTATGTTCATCCTGGCATCACTGGAGTCAGTGGGAGTTTTGCTGTTCTTTATATTAACCTTAATTCAGGGGAACAATTTTAAAGATGAGAATAGTTGATAAATCAGAAATCAGTGCTGTTTCCAGCATCTGTACAGCTCTTGGTTTTATTTTGTTTTAGTTTTTTGTTGTTGTTGTTTTTTTTTTTATGGCCACAGTACCAAAACTACATTTAAGTAGACTATGTAGTCTGCTCAATAGTTCTGGAGAAAACTTCACAAACTCCTTTGGGAGTAATTTTTCAATAGACTTGACTATTTCTCAGCATTGAATCAGATAATGTGTTGTATTAATTCATCACAATGTAGATATTACAGTTGTCAAGATAATTTTTAGTAGAGGAAATCCAGAAGTACCTCAAATGGTTGACAATAAGACACATATCTCCTTTGTAAGCTTTGGCTCTAATTGTGGTCCACTCTAAGCCAGGATGTGCTGCAATGGCTCTTTATTAATACTTGTGAAATGGGATTATTCTCCTGTTACCTCTGATGAAGCACATTCCAAGCAACTATTAAAATTACACCCAACATTTGGTACTATTTAATTACATTGTTGAAAGTCTGGTCACATGGGCTAGTTATGGAGTGGTATATAAGGAACAGTGAAGATTTGCTCTCAGTTCTTATCACAGTATCACAGTATGCTAGAGATTGGAAGGGACCTCAAAAGATCATCTAGTCCAATCCCCCTGCCGGAGCAGGAACACCTAGATAATGTTACACAGGAATGTGTCCAGGCGAGTTTTGAATGTCTCCAGGGAAGGAGACTCCACAACCTCCCTGGGCAGCCTGTTCCAGTGTTCTGTCACCCTCACTGAGAAGAAGTTTCTTCTCAAGTTTAAGTGGAACCTCTTGTGTTCCAGTTTGTACCCATTACCCCTTGTCCTATCATTGTTTGCCACTGAGTAGAGCCTGGCTCCATCCTCGTGACACTCCCCCTTTATATATTTATATACACTAATAAGGTCACCCCTCAGTCTCCTCTTCTCTAAACTATAGAGACCCAGCTCCCTCAGTCTTTCCTCATAAGGGAGATGCTCCACTCCCTTAATCATCTTAGTTGCCCTGTGCTGGACTCTCTCCACCAGGTCCCTGTCCTTCTTGAACTGTGGGGCCCAGAACTGGACACAATATTCCAGATGCGGTCTCACCCGGGCACAGTAGAGGGGAAGGAGGACCTCTCTCGACCTACTCACCACCCCCCTTCTAATACACCCCAGGATTCCATTGGCCTTCTTGGCCACAAGGGCACAGTGTTGGCTCATGGTCATCCTGTCGTCCGCTAGGACCCCCAGGTCCCTCTCCCCTACCCTGCTCTCTAACAGGTATATCTGCTTACTTTCACTGCTTGTGAAACTCCCAAGTTTATATTGATGCTAACTTTAGGGCATCTTTCTATTAGAGACAGTTAACAGTCTTTTAAAGCCAAGGGAAAGACTCACTGAGTTATCAGAAGGTAGAATGGACTGGACTTACAGAGAAAACTTGGTTAACCTGGGCTGATAGCCTAGCACACTTCAGAATTAAGTTTTTATGAAGAATGGCAGTAGAGAGCAGTGACTGCACATGAGATAATTAGTGTTTTGAAGAAACACCTTTTGTGATCCTATAAATTCCATGAGAATGTTAATCATTTAATTAAATACTACCTCAAATAGCACAATGAAAAATAGTGGGATATACTGCAAGTAGCTAGCATACAACAATCTACCTATGCTGACAATACAAGGAAACATTATATATTTAAAGATTGTGCTCAAGGTTTATAAATCTTTCATTCCTTCAGAGATTTATGTCAGGCATGTTTGGCTTACAGGGCTGTTACAGGCTGCCATTCATATTTTATATTGCCCCAGGAAGTCAATTGACTAGTTGACTGTATTACAGGTTTGTTCTTAAGCAATACTGAGATTTTTAATTTAGTAAGTAAATATATCTAAAAGCAAAATCGTTACAAAAGGTTTAAATTCACTGCATTTACTCAAGGTTTTTTTGTTATTTTGAAAATATCTTCATGCCAAGAAGATCTTACTGTGACAGACCTTAGGCCTACAAATGCTTATGACTACAAATGCAAAGTGCA